TGCACAGTGAGGCCATATTTACACTGTGCCAGAGCGGCCTGCTGCACATGCACCAGCCTCCTCTTTGCACCAGTTAGGGCCCTTTTTTTTTCATGTAATCAGTCAACGAGGAAATGGCTAAACAGAAACGATGTAGGAGCGTCTGTGTGGCGGTGTGACACATGGAGGGGCCCCCGGCCTTTAATCAGCGGAGTGACAGAAGTGAAAGGAGGCTGTGTTCAGAGGGAAGATAGGAGGACAACAAGATGAGACACGCCGTGCCCAATGACCACAACCCCCACCAGCACTGACAGAGCAACAGGGTGGTGGTGGGTCACTGGAGAACTGTCACCGAAGGTTATTCACGGTCTCGTCATCACCAGATGTGCCACAGATTTGTTTTAATGGTAGATTATCACATTTCTTTGCAAATGACAAAGTTACTGCTTTGGTGGTTGTTTTCATCTTGTTTGTTTGTTAGTGAGAAGGATTACGCAAAAACTACAGATAACCAGGAGATTTGTTGGAGGGAGGCAGAGTCATGTGTGAGAGGAATCCATTCAATTTTGGTGCCGATCAATTTTTTTTTTTTCCTCAACATTGTGAGACATTTTTCAATGTTTTTGTCGATTTCTCAGAAAAGAATTCATGAATCTTAATGAAAAAAACCAGGCATATTTTGGTGCAGATCAAAATAAAAATCCAAATCTATTGAATATAAATGTGGTTTCATAAGGGGACTGTTGGACAAACTATAGGGAGAGGCACTATTATTATTATTATTAGTAGTAGTAGAAGTACTATTTACAAAGTACTATAATTTGATTTATATTTTAGGTTTGTGAGTTATTTCCATTTCACTCAAAAAAAGAAACTCTTTTTCCGATGTTTCCAGTTGAGCACTGGGAGCTCTTGTGCTTCGAATCACTACACTTGTTGTTGTGTATCATTTCACCACCACACTTTATTAGATTCATGCATAGATACAAGTTGGTATTTTAACAATTGGAAGAGGAAGAGAAGCATCAGTCACGAATATTGAAACTAAGCGATTGCAGGATCTGAGGTGTGAGCGCTCCAGCTCGAATCCTTTGGCTTTTACAAGAAGCAACTGGACACCTTCACAGCAGAGAGCTCAAGCAGAGAGAGACAGCTTTAAAATGGAGTTCAGCTTTAAGCCTTCAGACCTTTCGCAGAGCGAGACAGTTCGTTTACACTGCACGGTGACATACGACCACCCTCCCACCCCGGATTGTACATACACACGCGCGCTCGGGGTATGACATCACGGGGGTCACGCTTTGTGTCTGGGGAGGCAAAGTCTCACAGGCTTTAGCGGGCAGTTGAGCAGGGGTTGCGTCCCAGGAGGGGGCCTGTGACGGCTTTGACTATGTCAGTGGAGTACAGAGTGCTCTGTGTATGAACCGAGGCGCTTCTCAGATTGCATTCAGACTCGCAGGGAGGGGTCGGGGGTTTGGAGCAAGGGGGGGTGTGCAATCAGTAGAAGGAGGATATTCAGGCCTTGCCATCCAAACCCCGTCCTGCAGCCTATGAGCACGCCCACGCCACTGAGTGCTGTCGGCATGGCTGCCCACAAGGGAAGGAGAGTGATGAAATGTGGGGAAACCATGTGGCTTAGCAAGTAAAGAGGCCTCCGCATGGACCAGCACTCCACACACACACACACACACACACACAAACACACACACACACACACACACACGTGCACAGAAGGGAGGGGACCAATAACTGGCTGCTGTCAAAACAAGCGCATGTTTCCATGGATAACGGTGCATTCAGGGCCTGCAGGTGCGCGGTGTTGTCTGGTCAGCTGACCCGCCGCTTCCTGTCAAACAGGAAGAGCCAAACGAGCGGAGACGAATAGTTCAAGGTAACACACAGCTGGCAGTTGTTAAAGGTGGGTTAGTGCAGGTGCGTTACAAGAGCAGCAGTGTGTGTGCCATGTAAGGGGAGTCTAACCCAAACAGATGACATAGAAACATATACGAGTGTTTGCTCAGTGTGTGTGTGTGTGTGTGTGTGTGTAGTCTACTCTGTAAAGATCTAGAATGATCTCAAGGGTCATAAGATTTTAATCATTTCAACAAATAAAACTTGAATGGCACTAAGTAAAGCGCATTCCTCCGCCAAGGCCCAACAGGCCCTTAAATTCAATCAAGCTGCACCAAATTACACGCACTTATAGAAATCATGCACCTAAATGTGCCAGATTTTTTTTCCATCAAGCTCCATGAATTATTCCCTGGGAAACAGGAAAAGAAAATCATGGATCTGCACCAAAATGTAATGGTTTCTTCCTTGACCCATAGCGTATCCTCCCACCAGGTTTCGTGGTAATCTGTCCTGTATTTTTTAACAAACAAACAAACAGACGGAGTAAAAATGTCCTTGACGAAGGTAAAACATAATTAAAGTCAATGCCACTGATTCTGTTACATGACACCTGTTTTAAAATCAATCACAACTTTTTTGGATTCAGTTCCAAATTTTGTGCAGTGAGGAGAGTGTGAGCAGCGCACATTTAACAAAGAGCCTCATTCTCCTCCTCCTCCTCCTCCTCCTGACAGACACATGCTGCAGGGGCCTCTGCATCCCTGAGGTGTCAGTCAATGCAGTGATGAAAATGAGATCATCAGCTTAATGACTTCAAGTTTGTGGAAGCATAGTAGAGGAAGAGGAGAGGAAGAGGAGAGGAGAGGGGAGGAGAGGAAGAGGAGAGCAGAGCAGAGCAGAGGAGAGGAAGACCTGGGGATATTCTTGCAGTTATAACTGTGTTCTGGTATGACAGTAGACTCAGATGCTAAAAGTTGCATCAAGGTTTCTGAGAAAAACTCCAAGTTATTCACCAATAAGATTTTTTTTCTAATTTGTTGATTTTAATTTATTGTTCAGACTTTAAAATGTCAGCTAAAGTAAACACAATTGTTTCCCAGAGTTTCTTCTGTCATCCTTCAAATATTTAAATTTGAAAAACAGTGAAAAGCCCATAGGGATTTGATTTATATTGATAGGAAACAGTAAAAAGCCGTGATTGTAGGTTTGTTGGAGACGTGTTTGCCAGTAAACATCATCCTCCGAGTATTACGTACTGGTATGGTTTTGGAATGACTCTCTATCAAATTAATTGGCTTTTTTATTTGATAAATGACTTAAAGCAGTGATTAAAATTCTTCTCTGTAAATTTTTGCCGTTGACTGAGCTGACTGAAGTGATTACAGCGGCTAATCTCTTCAGACTAACTGTGTTTACTTGAGCGAGCACACTTGATGCATGTCAACACTGAGGTTAAGTGCGGCCATGTTACACATCATGACACTAAATGTACATTTGGATGCAAAGGTTCCAAAAGGCTGCAACTGGAGAGTCAGAAACAACAACAGCTGCAGTCAGTCAGTCAATCGACAGTGTATTAAGTCTGTCGATAGGATCCCGCAGCGGTGAGGTCATACGTGCCCAGACATGTCTCCTGAAAAGAGGTCATCTCTATTATGTGAAAGGTAATCTTGCTCCGCAACCGCGGTCACAAGGGAAAGAATCAATGTGCTGCACTGCAGGAGGAATATATCAGTGTTTACTGATCGCCGCGGCCCAGCGGAGGTAAACTGCTGCTAATTTGTAACTTGTGTGGATAAGGGTGGACGACCTCGGGCCTGGGCCTGAGAGGTGTGGTTAACACCTGGCTTCCTCTGAAGGCATGTGTGTGTTTGCCGATGACGAACGCGCCCGAGTGAAGGTGTTGAAAACTGTGGCCTACATCCTTCGGAGTGACTGCACTTAAATGAACTGGAGGGGGGGGGGAAACCAACAGAGTGAAAGCCAAGTGAATTCATTCGAGAGTCGTCAAATACATGTGTAATAACTTTGCAAAAGGCCGATGGGCAGTAACAAAAAGTGTGAGCTGCTAGAAAACTGGTTGCCAGGTGCTCGCATTTTCCTGTGTGTATTAATATGCATTTCCAAATCTGAAATAGGAACGGTGCAGCCGCTCGTTTCATAATACTTCATAGCATTTCATTACCTTTAATTGCCCAATAACATTCAAGCTTGTGTCAGCTAATGGTGAAGTGAACCAGAAAGGCCTCGATGAATCACTTGGCAATGGGCTTTTGTTCTTGATGAATCTATTTGGTACACTGAAACCTCGGGGGCAGCGTTGGAGAATCGTTTGTTTTACGCCCCACTTCCAGAGGCCTCAACGATCCAGCTGGCACACACAAGTCCCACAACCAATTTTTTTTTTTTTTTTACCCACGTCAGTTTATCAGACACTGGAGTGAATGTGCGTCCGTCTAATGAGCGGGAATTAACGATGTAACTGCAACGGGACGTCCCCCGACATAGGCGGCTCACAGGCAAGTAAATAAAGATAAAGCAGTCTGAAGATGTGCGATTCTTCGCTCTGATGATGGAGAGCTTGTTTCAGTTTGTTTACAGAGCGAGAAACATGAGCTCGAGTGCCAGCGTAATTCATCACACTCGGAAGAGTTCTGCATTTATCATCTCTCAGAGCAGCTCACTTCCCATTTTCAGCGAATGTTTTTTTTTCAAAACCAAAGCTGCTCTGATATAAGTCCAGTTTAAACCAGAGCTGAGGATAAGTTTTCCTCGGAGCTTTAAGACCTTGAGTCTTGAAAAAAATAAAACATAGTTATGCTGCAATGGCCGAGAAAAACAGGCAAATTCAGGGAAGACAAATATTTTCAGCTCGTAGACTCGTAAAATAACTTTATTTATAATAATCTAATCCAAATAATCACATTACTGACAACTCCCTGCTACTTCGTTAGCTATAATGTGCTACTCTTTACGAAGAGAGAGACAAAAATAGTGCCTTCAATTTTCCGGTCTGACTCCATGTACAGTAACATTAGAGTCTGAACACACAGCCATACTTTCCCCTTTAACCGTCAGTCAGCAGCTGGCTAAGGCCAATCCATGTCAAGCTGTGGTATCTTATCTATGCCAGCGCTACACTGACAAATGCACAGTACAGACCTGGGTTACACTTCTGCAAACTTTATTCTAGAAACAAGATGTGTAGCAGCAGTATGTTTTCCATGCTTCACAGTACGAGGAGTTTGTTGGTTACAGTGTATGGACGGTAGTTTAGATTTAAAAGTTACAGCTACATGAAGATGCTATATTGCACGAGCCTGCGTCACACAGGCCTCACAGTAAGTGCAAAACCCCCAGTTGCCTTGTACTCAGCACCCCCTCTGACTGAGGATCATGTCCACAGCCTGGGCCAGGTCGTCAACGGTGCCGTCGGCCATCACAGTCGGGTGCTTCTCATCGCTTGGCCTGAGGGGGGAGAAGCAAAAAGGCCGTACTTAAAGACACGCATCGCAGGGAGAAACAGGAAAAAACAAGTCGCTGCACAAGGGTCAGCAAACGAGAAGGGCCAGCAGTTTGATGCTATCAGCCACATTAACAATACCGACTGTATAAACTGGAAAAGAGCAGGACGTGATGGTCTAAGAAGATTCAGGAAAGGCAGCGTTTACAAAGAGGCAAACACAATTACTCTACAGCTTCAGCTTAAGGGGGAGGCTCTGGTGATAAATGGGGTCTGTGTACTCTCAGAATTATCATAAGAGCTCACTTATGATCAACAGCGAGTTTAACTTCTCCATGTGGGTTCTTTGCTGTGCTGCTTATCTCCACACTTCAAGGTGTCTGTGCAGCTGGCTGCCAAAAGCCCCTGCAGGGTCGTGCATGTTTTCTCTGTCTCCGTCACCCGCGATCACACCGTGTCCCAGACTTTTTCTAGTACATCTGTAGGCAAATTAATAGATTTAACTGCAGTCAAATTCCCAAAAAACACGATTCAACAAAAAGGAACCAAATGTGCGCTTAGTAACATATAAACCTTTCTTCTGAGCCATTCAGGCAGCGAGACTCTATGGAAATGGTTGAAACCAATATTCAAATGTATTGAGAAAGCAGAAAAATAACAAAGGTTAGCAAACAGATATTGTTTTTTTAAAAGAGGGACAAAAGATAATGTATGCTAATATTTGGTCTGTTTATTAGAATGGGTTATGAGACAGATTTATCTTTACAGATATGTATCTACATATAAATACTGTATTTTTGTAAAAATGTAAATACGTAGTTAAAAACACGTAAACAAAGATGAGGAGGTATGGAGCTGTGTTGCCTTGCTCTTGCCATTGTTTGGCTCTGGGCCCAGTGATGGACACAGATATGGCTGTTTAATCAGCTGGTAGGGGAAATGTGATCCATTTGGCGTGGCACCAGGATCGGGCCAACATGCAGGACCCTTTTCCTCCCCATTACATCAAAAGACGGAGACGCCCCCTTCATTCATGCACGGGGCTGCTCGGGACTCCTGTCCTGCTCGTTTATGAAGCGGTGCCTATAGATCCGCCCTCGGCGGGCCGCCTCTACCAGGCTCTGTGTGCTGCCTCTGTTCCCCCAGTCACGGGTTGGGAGCTCCAGATGGGGAGGCTTTGTCTGGCCCGGGGTGTGCGGCACACACCACCATTAATCCTACCCTCTGAGAGCTCGCGGAGGACCATGGCAAATATTTGTGAGCTGTCCAAGTGTAGCGACAGAAAGAAGAGGCCTGTGGGGAGGGGGGTGAGGAGAGGTGTTGAATACTGAGGCCGCACTGAATACAGGGAAGCAGTGCCATATGTTTACGCATGTCTGTCAGCCGCCAGTGCTTGGGTTACGTGAGCTGCTCCACTAATGGTTGAGGTGTTATGTCTCCTGTGCTGGATTACTCCTGCACCCTTTTCTGCCTGAGGACTGATTGAGTTCACACACACAGACACACAGACACACAGACACACAGACACACACACTCACACACTCACACACACACACAGGCGACTTGAATACTCACATGGTTCTTATGTTTCAAACAGAGCAGAGCACAGCGTCTCTCCGACCCGATGCTCCTTTAAATCTGCCCCAGCCTCCTGCCCTTTAGATATGCATGCATGCATGCATGCGTGTATTCATTTTGCTGCTTTCCTCCCATTGCCATGAATAATGTACGAGTAACCAGGTCAATGTGACCATGCAAAATTCAGCACAATGTGACTCTCGTTACTGATGAGGTAATCTGCAGCTCGCGGCGTATCCTTCAAGTCAATGAAATATCAACACACGTGGAGAAATAGGTTTGATCCCCGGGCCTAACGGACTCCACACAGCCTTAAACACTGCTGCGGCCAAGTCAAAAACTTCCCCAGAAAGCCGGGAAATGCTCGCAAGGTTTGGGTTGAGAGTGTGCAAAGAACTACAGAAGCAGAAGTTTGGTTGGATTTGAAGATCAGGATTCCCAAGATGAAGACTGGAACATTGAGTTCCCAGATTTTAAAGTTATGAAACACATTTTAAATGAGATTTAAAAACAGGTACATACACTAATCCTCTACAACAGCTATGACATGACAGTGGATTTAACAGATGTAGGAGCTGGTCACGAGAACATGGATATCTGCTCAGGCAATATAAGATTATAGTGGTTTACAATGTCACATGGAGAGATACTCAACACGATATTTGGCGCTATAAAACATGGTGATACATTTTTATATGACTCCATGACATGAAAGTGGATACGAATGACTCATACAGTGAGTTGTGTGTGAATGTCAGCTGTGCACGAAAGAAGGACAAAAGCATGGACAATTAGGGAAAAGGAGGATACGAGAGCAGTGTCTGTTTGTTTTGCTCAGATATACTTAGTTCATCATCATGGTAGCCGACCGCAGGGTGAAAGGCAGGACAGCATTCTCATCAGTTAATGCTTAACACATTAGTACATAAACATAGAAACACGTGCACGCAGAGGGAAGCCAAACTGTCCTGTACACCTGATTTCGATTTACACTCTCCTCACCTCTGCAGAGTTCGCCTTTTTCCTCAACACAGCTACGCAGCAGCAAATGAGGCAGGGATGACAAGTTCAACCTGAGCCAACAATATGTGATACTCAGAACAGTGTTTTTAGGTGATGGCAGCAATGGAGCAGACGGGCCGAGCAGTTTTTGGGGAAACCTGGCTGTTTCCCAGCAGCTGGATTTAAACACAGAGGAAACTCTGAAGCTTTGATATATCTCTGAAATTCTTGTTGACACCATAGACCAGATACTGAGCATGAGAGTCAATTTTTAAGTAATTCTATGAAAAGATTCTGCATAAGATTAGATAAGACTTTGGGGTTGGAAACCTTGTGCTTTCGGTTTCTTGTTTGACCAATCATGTTTCAGCAGGCTGTTGTTGGCCGCAGGCAATGAAGGTGCATGTGAAGAGAGAAAGGAACACATTGACCAAAATGCATCGGCTATCAGATTTATCAGAGTAGCCAAGTTATCGTCTCAACCTGCAAAGTATTGCTGCTTCTGTCTTGTGTGGAAAACAGTGAACGGAGGATGGAGTCTTATCCCCAGAATCCCCTGTCCACACCAGAAACCCCAAAATATTGTCTGTTGCCCCCAGAAGCTTGTTTGTGTTCAGATGATAGCCAATGGACTACAAGATTGATTTTAAAGGTTCCGTATGTAGAATTTTATGAAATCTAGTGGTGAAGTGTCATGTTGCAGCTGAACACCCCTCACCTCACCCTCCCCTTCCAAACATGACAAAGAAACTGTGGCAGCCTTCAGTTGTTATAGAAACTCAAAAGCTGTTTAGTTTGAATCTTGAATCTTGAAGTTTTTCCAGACTGGGCTACTTTAAAAACATGGAGGCCTCAGTAGAGAGGACCCACTCCCGATGTAAATATAAAGTATTTGAACATAAAGGGCCCATTAAGGTAAAGAAAACAGCAATTCGTACAATTTACATGAAACACACTCGTGAAAACGTAAATTAATTTATATTCAATTTCTGCCAATAGATGCCTTTCACTAAAATCTTACACAGCTCCAAAGAGGACAAATCATTTGTGCCTGACTTGCAGGTGCACTGGTTAAAGCAGAAGTAAGTTATATGTAAATGCAAAATATGTTGAAAGTCTCTCGGGTAAAAGCAGAGCAGACAAACTGCATCAAAAAGAGAGCAGGGATGAGGTGTCAAAGGTAACCAGTGAGGATATGACACTGATAAAATGCAAGCAGGCATAAATCTTAACTCGTAAACCTTCCTCTGTAAAACCTCATAATAAATAAACCTCTTTGTAATGAGAGCAGTCGCTTGGTTTTACAGAAGGTAGTGACATTTATGAGAGCTACAACAACGGTGTGAGGAAGCGTCAGCCTGCCAGGGAGAGACAGAAAAACACTCATCCTGGTTCATTGTGTCGAAGTGAGTTTTTCATACCAGCGCTACAGCGGAGCCAAAACACTGCCTCGTCTCAAACTGAAGCAGACGATACAGCCATACACCCCCGAAGGAGAACACGGCCCGACTATCACTGCAGCCTTTATGTTCAGCCAAGCCTTGTGGGCGACATGAGATAGGAACACAAGACAAAGCTTCCTCCCCTCATCGGTGGAGGTGCGTTAACTGCATGTGCTCAGTGATGTCAAAGGAGTCTTTTGGCCTCAAGGGTGTGAGCACGATCGCACTGACTCTAAAGGTCATGGGGGTGAGGCTGATGGTGTATCAGGATCCTTTAAAAAAAGAGCGGAAGAGGGAAAATAGATGACTCCAGGTATTTGACATGTTCCAGCCTGGTTTTATCATCATCATCCTCATCATCATTGTCCACTTCAAATTCACTTTTACTCCCTTTTTTGTTTTAATCCACCTGAGAGACGCATAACATGCTTGATGCAACACAGCTGCAGCCAAAAATGAACTAAGGAAACCACCAAGTTATGTGTGTGTTATGGCAACAGCAACGACAGATGCAATGCTGCAGCCTTCACATCCTTTTCTGCGGCCTTTATCGCTTTACTGTGCAAATGGCTGTTGAGTCATGATCAGCCACCGCATGGTTTTTCACACTTTACACGGACAATTCCTGCTCGACACAAAGGGGATTCCCTGAACGCAGCGTGAAGGGTAACTTCATGCGTTTACACCCTGTTGCTCTCGTCCTCTGAATGTCGAACCGTCAAAACCACGCTGGAAACTTTCTGTCTTTCCCAACCACAAATACATGGAGGATGAGAGAACAGGACGTACACCACAAACATTTTACTTTCTGTCTCTCAAACTTTAAAAGAACAAAACCAGTGTTTTTGCAGCTAAACAGTGCAGCTCACACTTCCAGCTGCCTGTGGTGTAGTATTAGATTCTCTGAAGTGTTCTGCCTCATTGACTTCTGTTGATTTCCATTCCAGACTCTTGAAACACCCTTCACCGCCCAGTGGTTCCCA